AAACAATAATAGCAATAGTGATAATGGTAAAAAATAATAATGATAATAATAATAATAATAATAATAATAATAATAATAATAATAATAACAATAATAATAATAATAATCAAAACTGTAATAACAATAGTAATGATAATGATAATGATGTTACCAATAATAGTAATCGTGATAATTGTTAATGATAATGATAATAACAAAAACACTAACAGCTATAAGGATAATAATATAATATTAGATAATATTGATAATAGTTACAAAAATAGCAATAATGATAATAACAATGATAATAATAATGATGATAAGAAGAACGATAACATTCATAATAACAATGATAATGATAATAATGATAATAAAAATGATACTACAAATACTGCTAATAGTATATAACAATAATGATAATGATAATAATAGTAAGGATAATAATGAGGATAATATCAATAATGATGACAAAACGATATGATAAAATGGCTACGAATAGATCCGGCCTCTTTTCCAAACAAAAGTAAACCGTGACCCTTCACATACGGGGGGGGGGGGGCGGTTGTCTCTAATCGATACTCCCTCTCTATTTACCTCTCCAAGATTGTCGAACTGTGTGCCGTTGCCTGCGGTATTCATCGACAGGACACAATCAATGCACAGTCCTCAGCCGGCCCCTCAGAAACCATCAGAGGAGTATGAAACGGACATACAAATAGAAAATATGGAACAAATAAACCTACTAGGTAATAAGCAACTTGTTCTGATGTGTATGCATAGCAATCCATCGTGAATTATCATGAAAGGCATTTCTCTCCTTAAGTGTTTCAAGGTATTTGTGTTTCCAGGGAAAACTTGCAGTCTCACAACGTCCACGGATCCGGAGGATGTCTTCAGGTATATGGACACCATCACCATAAGGTGTAATACGCCTGTAAGTATTCGCGAAACTGTAGGCCAGGGTTCTTCAAGTACGGGTCGCGTACATAATAATAATCATAATATATATACATGTATATATGCACACACACACATATATATATATATATATATATATATATATATATATATATATATATATATATATATGTATATATATATGTGTGTGTGTGTGTGTGTGTGTGTGTGTGTGTGTGTGTGTGTGTGTGTGTGTGTGTGTGTGTGTGTGTGTGTGAATACTAAGTAATGATACATGTGTCTCGTCTTCCCAAATCTGTTCAGTTATACTAATAAGCAAGAGATGCATAGTGAAACGATCACCCACAGTAGCTCTTTCGTTTGACTCAAAGATAATGGCTGGAGGAGTAATAATGAAAGACGAGCCCTACATAAAGAATGAGAAGTGGGTGTGTTTGGACAAGAAGTACAAGATAGTACCCGGAAACTGTACGATCTACTCTTTCGGTATCTCGTCGGACTGGTCTTTCGATGACGACATGGACCAACTCTTTAACTGCAAGGTACGTCTCTCTAATACGCTGAATGTGTTTGAGTTTTGTATTGTAGGTGATTATAATATTATGAATCTATCTTTTCTTTCTCTGTCTCTGTCTTTCGCTCTCTCTCTCTCTCTCTCTCTCTCTCTCTCTCTCTCTCTCTCTCTCTCTCTCTCTCTCTCTCTCTCTCTCTCTCTCTAGCTATCTGTCTATCTCTCTATAAGCAAATGTACACGAATATGTATAGATGGATACTGCCTTGATTATTCTACGCATTTGATTTCCAGGTTTACTGCTTCGACCACACTATACATCAGAGAGACCACGAACGTTCAAAAAATATAAAATTCTTTGATACTGGAATCTCATCAGTGAAAAGAAACAAGGTGAAATTAAATACTTTTCCCCCCTAATTACAGATGTGTGTATGTGTGTTTGTGGAGTGTCTGTGTTTGTCAACATGTCTATAATGCTTTTATTTTCTAATGGAGTGTGCAAGATTCTTTGTGTCTGTGTGTGTGTGTTTGTGTGTGAAATACACCCTTTTTTTGCTGTGCATTAATAACATTCAGGCATTAGCATCCAACCTCTCCCTTTGTACAAATGTTTTTCTTTTCTTCTTTAATAAGTACAAATAGTATACATCAAAATCAATAACAACAGAAAACAAGAATGAATGATAACAATAATGATAATAATAATAATAATGATACTCATGATAACATGCCAAACGAAAAAAAAAATCTTAGTAAGTAGTAAATCACAAGGACTCGCCATCCACAGGTTGACCGCTACATCAACATCCTAAAGAGGTTAGGCCACGAGAACACCACCATTGACTACCTGAAGATGGATGTGGAAGGAGCAGAATTGCAGTTCTTTGAAGACGTGTTCACCCGGACGCCTGAGGTGCTGAACAACATTAAACAGATCGGAATGGAGGTTCACCCTTCGAGAAACAGTAAGCTCTAATCGGCATAGACCTATGCGTTTCGTAAGGGGAACCAAAAGATGCGAAATTTGACATTTTTAGACGGTCTAAAGCTATGAATTCGCATGGTGAACTGAAGGTTTGTAATCAGATTGATGGATGAGGTGCTGGGAAAGGATTTTTTTCTATTTTGGTTCTTTTATTTCTTCTTTCTTCTCTTTTTATTTTTTTAAAAATTTATCTTTTACATTTATGATTATTTTTTACACAACTCTCAAGATAATTTCACAGCCATACATTCTCTTCCATATTGCGATTTTATTTTACATAAAACACACTGTAATCGTATACATACATATAAATATATATATATATATATATATATATATATATATATATATATATATATATATATATATATATATATATATATATATATGTATATATATATTTAATTGAACATGTGCTGTTTAGGGGGACTGTCCTTGAGCAGAGTGGGGTGAGGGGTTATTCGTACTTAAATGTGGAAAATACCAAACGACTGTTAAAGCCCGCCTCAGGTTATTTCTTGGATTAGTAAGGGCATAAGCGCCAACAGGTAAATTGCTGATGGACCTTTGCTTTTTGCAGAATTTGATAATGACTTTACGCATAGAAATGAGTTCGTGGATGTCCTAGGAACATTTTTTCACACACACACACACACACACACACACACACACACACACACACACACACACACACACACACACACACACACACACATATATATATATATATATACATACATATATATATATATATATATATATACATATATATATATATATATATATATATATATATATATATATATATATGTGTGTGTGTGTGTGTGTGTGTGTGTGTGTGTGTGTGTGTGTGTGTGTGTGTGATTAATATTAATATACAATGATTCATATTGAAATCTTTAGGGGATTTTTCTTTCAAAACGTAAGTGTTGCGTACATTTACACATGAAATGTTCTTTGCAATTAGGCTCCCTGGTCATAGGCTGAAGCTCATACAGTGATCGGTATGTGTACCGAGTGCGGTGTACGCATGTCAAAAAATAAAAGTACAATGTATATTAATACTATATTGTTTTGGTCTTTGATTTGATTGAAATCGGTCGTTTCATGTTGGAGAGTTTTTGAATTTCGTGAAAATAAGCGAGATGTAGCCTATGGTGGTTGTGTTAACATGGAACTAGTTTTAGTCTGAAAACACTGGACCATAAAATAGCGTACAATAGCACCCAGACAAAAAAAAAAAAGAAAAAGAAAAAAGAAAAAGAAATTGGGATTTTACTTGCCCTCTTCATAGAGTTGACTTAGTAAACTAGTATTTTTTTTACAATGTTCTGGAAAAATATGATTTTTTTTTTACTCTTTAAGGGCAAATCCATGGAATAATGGGGTAAAAAATCTATATGAAAGAAGCGCAGTTTTATACTTAGTTACATGAAATCTCATATATAACTCATATATATGTATTTATCGTATACCTAAATATGCACAATTTACTGTACAGTAAACTTTACACAAACACTAATATAAGTGATAACGAAGTAAAATGTTTTCATTCTTCCGCAGAGAATTACATGAGGCGCTACATGAGGTATTTCCAACTTCTAGACTGTTTAGGCTTCAAACTGATGTTCAGTCAAATGCTTGATATAAACAGACTTCTGTACAAGAGCAATGGCGAGACTCGGTCATGCTGTTATGAACTGATGTGGGCGCGAGACCGGGAATGGTGAAGACTAGGACGGCACTGAGGCGTATGTGTGATCTGCAAAGGGTTGTGAAGAACTTGGTGTCCATTGGCAGGACACTGAGGATATATTTCTTTTTCTATGTTGTAGCGAGTTCATTTGGAATATATTAATTGGTCAGTATGTGGAGATTTCCATGGTCATTTGTGCATATTACATCACCCTTCACAGTAATTAGTGTGTGAATACTGGTTTGTAATTTTGGTGTTTGTGCATCCGTTCGAATCCTGTGGTCGACTACGTCACCAGCCTAGAGAAACGAGTCGGTACACTCTGCATTCATTCTGTACTATTTATTACTTAATAAATATGAATATGCTTTTTACCAGTGATTGATATCAACCCAACTATTTGAATATTCACAAAGTAATGTACGAATGAATCTGGCCTTCATACCATCTCTTTTATTCATATATATACATATATATATATATATATATATATATATATATATATATATATATATATATATACATATATATATGTATATATGTACAAATCTATCTATCTCTATTTATGGATGTATACATACAATAACAAACACACACACACACACACACACACACACACACACACACACACATACACACACACACACACACACTCGCACGCACACACGCACACACACACACACACACGCGCGCACGCACACACACAGACACACACAAACACACACACACACACACATACACACACACAGAGACAATATTTATATATATACACATGCATACATGCATACAAGTATACAGACACACATACATATACATATATGCATATACTATAAAACAATGCTACAAATACAGATGTTCCGGTCCGGGATTATTTTAATTTCAAAATACATCACGTCCTTGTGCAAGACTAAACAACAAGAAAATCAAAAGATCCAGGTTGTTAAGTAAAAACAAAAGGGAAAGGGAAACTTTTATTTGAAATTTTCAAGCAAATTAAAGAGAAACAATAAAACACAGAACTAATAATGGCAGGTTGATAACTATACCCGGAAACAGAAATCAAAACAAACCCCAAAACGAAGAAAATAAAAAGAAAAGAATATACATTTAGATCAAATAGCATATTTAGTTACATTTCTTAAGAAAAAGGGCACAAAAACAACATAGTATTGACCTCTCTGTTGCTCTGACCCTGCCTCTCTGACTTTGGCTTCACTGATCCTCCACTTTCCTCCACTCTCTGATTCTGGAAGGATAACTCCGATATGCAAAGCTGAGCCTCACCCGGGCTATGCCCATGAGGGGATCCCGGCGTGTGTCGGCTCGATCCGTCCTCTACAAACCTTCTCCCCCAAACTCACTCTCAGGAGAACATTGGACCTGACCTATGACCGGGTAGTCTTCATTATCCTGCAAGTGGCTGTTCCTGACAGACGTCGCGTGGATGGGCATCATCGCTGTCGGATCAGGGTCCAGAGGGCCTTTCACTGCTGCTGCAGAAGTTATAACTTCTCTCCCTGCTGAGTACCAAGGCGAGGTAACGTAGCTTCTCGCGGGAGGTCCCCGGCATGCGCCGAGACGTGCTGCGTCGTGCCTTCCACAGGACTGTAAATCTTAGGAAGGACCTGGACCTGTACTCCTGGGCTTTGACACTATGCCAGGATCTGACATACTGGGTTTCGGTGCACTTTCTTCATTGCTCCGGGGTCCGCACTCGCCGTAGTTCTCGGGTCGTTGTCCCAGCGTCCAGACTGTCGTCGTTTTTACACTATCCCGCAGCGACTAAGAGGCGTCGAGGCTGCGAAGGGCTTTCTGGGCGCCTCCTCCGACGGCGGTCATCCACTCAGAGCCTTAGGTGATCCGTCCAGTGGCAGGCGAAGCTGAGGACGGGGCAGCGCCGCCGCCTGAGAGAGACCGCGATGACTCCATATTTCTAGGGCCTCATGTAGCTCCAAGATCATCCACATTATACTCTAGAACCGCAAGTTTCCAATGGTGGCCACGAAGAGGCACTGCAGTAGTCTTTATGATGAAGAGGGTATGAGTTGACAGAGGAGGCTCCTGGATAGTTAGCGGTGGCAGCATAAACGAGAAGTCATACAAGCAAGACATCTAACGCTAACTAAACCACCACACTATCGCTTCACTATCACCCATTCATGTGTATGAATAGATACATATTGCTAGTCACCGGATAGACCAAAAAAAAAAAAAAAAAAAAAAATGCATTGACAGTTAGTTATATAAACAGGCATTGGTGAATACAGTGGTAGAAACATGACGTTGAACTTAGAGCAGGTGTATATGCTATGCAAGTGTACATTTTGTGCCACGACAGCTCTTTCCACGTTACACACGAGCCCGCCTTGGTGAGGTCCGCGCCCCTTAATCAGATACGTGGGCTTCACCACAAGTGTGTGCAGTGTAACAGAACAAAACCATAAATGAAATAAGACAAAATAACATTTGTTACATGCAGGTGGTTTATCCGCACAATGCACATTCATTTTTAGTTTCGCTTTATCTCTTTTTCTCCCTTTCCTCCCTCACGTGCTTCATCATAATCATCTTCTTTCTTTCTCTCTCTCTCTCTCCCTCGCTCTTCTTCTCCCTCTCTTCCTAGTTTCATCTTTGCTTCTTCAATGTTGTCTTTCTTTTTCAAATTCTCTCTTTCTCCCACAGCCCCTCCCCCCTCTCTCTCGTTATTTCTCTCCCTACTATTTTCATCTTCGCTTCTTCGCTTCGTTTGTTCCATTCTCATTTTGTTTTTCATTTTTAATTTATCTCTTCTTCTCCCTCATCCCACTTTCTTTCTTATTCTCTCTCTCTTTCTCTCTCGCTCTCTCTCTCTCTCTTCTCCCTCCCTCCCTCTCTCTCTCTTTTTCGCTTTCTCATTTTCGTCTTTCATTTTCAATGCATATATCCTCCTTCACCCCTCTTCCTTTCTCACTCATTCTCTCTCTCTCTTCCTTTCTTCCTTCTTGCATTTTTACTTTCATTGTCTATATCTCCCTCATATATCTATATCTCCTTCACCCCTCTCTATTTCTTTAATATCTATCCTCTCTCTCTCTCTCCCGCTCCCTCTCTTCCTTCTTTCATTCTCTATATTTCCCTTAACCCTCTCTATTTCTTTCATATTCATTCTCTCTCTCTCTTCAGTGTATACTTGTGTACTTTAAAGAGAGAGAAAGTGAAAAGAATCTTCTGTTAGAATTATTAACTACGCAATTTGAATTCACTTTTGTACTTAATTCCTATTTTCAATTTACAACTAAAACTAAGCTAATGGTTCTTCAAATTATGGACCTAAAGCTAGTGGTTCTTAAACTTATTCAAATATTGTATTTATTTCCAGTTAGGTTGCATATTAGTAAACGTTACTTAAAAAGCTATAAAAAGGATAGC